TGCCCTATTTAGAGTATTATACCGTGTTTCCCCGAAAATAAGATAGTGTCTTATTTATTTTTTTCCACGAAAAAAGACAGTAGGTCTTACTTTTGGGGTAGGTCTTACTTTCGGGGAAACACGGTATGTCCGAAGATGTCTAATATAATCTGATAGCTGTACCGCCTCCATCCATAGCTTCCCATTAGTTTGTTTCTCTGGTCTTAGTTCAGTTTTCAGCTCTTCTCTTCCTGGTTCTAATATCTGCCACAATTGTATATGGGATGTATTCCCCACATTTAATAGGAGACTGCTTGCATGCCTGGTGGGAATTGTGGATTGCCCAAAATGGGGGTCAGGGGTCCTGGTCTGGATGATAAGTTATATCTAGTAGCATACCTATCCCAAATTCGTAGTACCGGTTGCACTAGGAATGGCAAGGTTGACTTATGTGGTCTACTCTCTGCCAGTAACCAAGGGAGATTCCTCAAAGATATAGGGGAGATGTCGTCTTCCAATTTTACTACCCCCTTATCCTGACCCCTATGCATCCAATCTAGTACTCTAGATATTAAGATCGCTTTATGATAGAGTTCAATGTCTGGGATTCCCAAACCTCCCCTTTGTTTTGATCTCATCAGGACTTTTGCGCTTATTCTAGGGTTTCTGTTTGCCCATATGAATTTCATTGTTACCGATTTTATTGTTCGAAAAAAGGATTCTGGTAGGGATATAGGAATCGTCTGAAGTCTATATAATATTTTGGGAAGGATATCCATTTTTAATACATTTATTCTGGCCATCCATGTTAATCTTATATTATTCCATGTACGGAACTGGGCAAAAATGTTATCTATCCATTCCCCAAAGGTTATGGCATATAGAGTATTAAGTTCTTTAGGAATATTGACCCCCAGATATGCAATATATTTAGGCTGCCATCTGAATGGGTAATTATTCTTAATGCTGGTTTTTACTTTATCGGTTAATGAGATATTCAGGAATTCCGATTTAGTTAGATTTATTTTAAAATTACTTAAGTCGCCATATCTCGTCAGTTCTTTAAGAATATTAGGTATCGATATTATTGGAGAAGATATTGAGAAGTAGATCATCTGCATATAGTGCTATTTTATGTTGTTGTGTTACAATGTTTATACCAGTAATCAAGGGGTTCTTCCTGATGGTTGCCGCTAATTGTTCCATTGCTATAATATATAGCAATGGTGACAATGGGCATCCCTGTCGGGTACCATTAAGTATTGGGAAGGGGGCGGACAGTTCCCCATTAACTCTAACCCTTGCATTTGGATGTGTATATAGTGCCATCACTTTGGAAATAAATGTTTCTCCCACTCCCATTTGCGCAAGAGACTCTCTAAGAAATGTACAGTTTACTCTGTCAAATGCTTTTTCAGCATCGATTGACAGAAGACAAAGTGGTATATCTCTTTTTTGGGCTAGTTCTATTAAATTGATGACCCTGGTGGTACTATCTCTGGCCTCCCGTCCTAGTACGAATCCAGTTTGGTCCAGATGAATAATTTTGGGCAATACCTTTTTTAACCTATTGGCCAATACTTTTGCATATATTTTCAGGTCTATGTTTATAAGGGAGATTGGGCAATAATGGCCACACTCTGATAAGTCTTTTCCTGGTTTTGGAAGTACAGATATGTGTGCCTCCATTGTCTGTATGGGGAAAGGACTAATCTCTGTTACTGAGTTACAGGCTTTCGTAAAGAAGGGAGTAAGTCCCTCCTCGAATTGTTTGTAGAATCGAGCTGTAAACCCATCTGGCCCAGGTGCCTTATCAATTTGTAGTGAGGAGATTGCCTCTTTTATTTATTTTTCTGAAAATGTCGAACTCAGCTTTTCACCATCTTCGGAATTTAGGACCGGCACATTTGCCTCTTTTATATAATTCCTCACTTTATTTACAAACTTATCCGTTGGCATATCTGCATATATACCTCGCAATGAGTATAAGGATGAGTAATATTTTCGAAAAGTTTCTATTATCGAGGATGGTGAATGCTGCATGTTCCCACTTCCATCTTTAATTTTTACTATATTATTATTTGATGTCCTTGGATTGATTTTCCTGGCCAGCAGCTTGCCACATTTATCTCCCTTTTCATAGTACCGATTTTTACCTTTATCTCTAGCGATCAATGATTGTTGGAAGTAAGAAGGGACATTCGCAGTATTCTGGACCATCAATTGAGTGGAACCTTTTATCGTCACATTCGCCTTATTCGTGACCTCCAATTCATTTAGTTTTTTAAACAATCTTTTCAATTTTTCTGCCTTCTCTTTTTTCTGGAGCCATGTTTAATCAGGATTCCCCTTACTACACATTTAATTGCCTCCCATTGGATGGGATTTGATGTAGTATCTTTCTGGTGGTCCTTTATAAAATTTTTGATGGTAGTATTTATTTCTTTTTGACACCCTGTATTTTTTAGCAGGTTGTCATTTCTCCAGTTTCCCGTTTTTCTATTCGGTCCAATCTCAATCTCTGGGGCATAATCCAATAACTTCTGATGTATCCAAATATGATCTATCCGGCTATAGGATTTATGCACCATAGAATAATATGTAAAGTCTTTTTTTTGTGGGATTTAATATTCTCCACCCATCTACCAGTCTCATACTATTCATTTTAGTTTTTAATTTTTGTAAGGCCCCTCCCATTATGTGAGCTTTCCCTGTGGTATCTAATTGATTATCAAATATTAAATTCATATCACCCATTACCAAACTTGTGCCTACCCCAAATTGTTTGAATCTGTTAAGTGCCCGTGTACAAAACCTATATTGGCCTTTATTGGGTACATATATATTTGCAAGTGTCCTTCACATGTTTTACCAGGTGGCTGTTCAGGCATCTCCGCATGCAACCTTTGAATGTAAGGTCCTGTAGGCAGCTCTCTAAGCTGCAGACAACCCGTAGTGCATTTTTCATTGTTGTTTTTTTTTTCTTGGGCTCTTAGCATTGTGTTATTTAGTTAAACAATGTCCCAATGTTACGTGTCTAATACAGAAGAGAGTTAGTAGAAGGCTCATCCTGCAAATTAAGCGGGATTGATTATGTGAGTTTGGAGGGTAAATGTGATACACGTATATCAGTACCACTGCACCGAAGCACACATCTTTAATTACTGTCATAGCAGTCCACTGATGTGCAATTCTTTAATTGATGCCACAACAGTGACATGCACTCATTTCGTCTTTTGCGATCATTATAATACAAGTACATATTTTATATCTATTTTGGATAGAGTTGTGAAAAATTAGAACCCTTGCTGGCTTTTTTTTTTTGCTATCCAGTGAGAGATTTCCACTCGCTTATCACCAAATATCCCAGACTTTAATTAGGGATTATGTACCATAATGATGATATTTATCAGGGATTGGATGGATTACGAGTATTCAAAATTGAGATCCTGTATAGGTGCAAATGGGGAGTTGGTAACATTTAAGCAACCTAAAGAACTAATCATTTTTATATCTAATAAATTCCTGTTTTCAAATGCAGATTTGTGACTCAATTGTATGATATGCAGAGAGACAGACACAAAGTAAAATAGAATAACATAAAAAATCCTTCTGAGAGGGCCATGTGAAACTCTGATGATGGTATCTGCATATTATTAAAGAGAATATAATGGATCAGCACTAGGAAGTAGTACAAACATCTATTAGTGCTGATCTACAAGAAATCTATCTAAAAGTAAAAAGGAGGTCATCCATATCAGTAGAAAGATATTCAAATTTATTGAGAGGTATTATTATTATTATACAGTATTTATATAGCGCCATTTGCACAGCGCTTTACAATAAAGGGAAGAGATTATAATTACAATACAATTCAAGACAAGATGTTAAGGAGGGCCCTGCCTGTGAGGGCTTAGAAAGTAAATGCCCAAAATGTTTTTCAGGCTGCAGGATTTAAATCATATGATGTTCTGGACGGTCAGTAGGTTTTTAAAATAAAGTGGCCTATTGGGTAGGATTAATACTGGGCCATAGGCTGGTAAAAGGGTTAGCAGATATTCTACTGCCTGGTCTATGGCGTAGCCAGGGCCGGATTAAGAGCATTATGGGCCTCGTGCTGTTGGCTGGTCTGATGGGAAGCAGCAGAGGTGGCTCTGTAATTAGGCAGTCACTCGCTCCACCTATTATGTCTGATTAGAGAGCTGCCTGTGCCTGTGCCTGATTGTGTTCAACCCAGCTGGCATACCGAGGCACTCCGGGGCGGCCGGGCCTATTTTTAGTGGTGTTTCTGGAGCTAGTGCTCCAGTGGCCCCTATGTTAATCTCCCCTGGGCATAGCGAGAGTAGGGCATTAGTGATCCTGGCAATCCTTTCAGGCCTGAAGATAATATTCAGAAAATTGGATAGCAAACGTGTTGCCAAAGATACAAGAGGTGTAGAATTAGGTAGCAAGATATATAACCCTGGAATATTTTTACTGTACTGTTCAAAAGAATGGAAGCTGGATTTAGAAATGTAATAAAACATGACATATATTGAAGTGTCCCGTTTACCAAGCCTTTTAATGTTTTGTATTTGAAGAAATTAAACATAGTTATTTGATATAAAGGGAAATGAAATGATATGTACATAATCATTGTTGTAATAAAATTATAATTAAGAAAAATACTGTATATTTCTCACTTACTGTCACGCTGACAGCGGTTTCACCGGGCAGGAAGAGAGGAAAAATATTCAACAGTAACAAAGACAGCAATAAAAATGCCTTTTTTAGCATGGCGAAGGCAAGAACCCCTGTCAGCTTTGTATTGCGGTCTGTGTCCCTGTTGCAGATTTTGTTTAATTTCCTGTCTGGTGAAACCATTGCCACCATAACGGTATTAAGAGAAAATCTCTGCAACAGAACCTTGGATAGCGGATAATACCAATGGGGATCTAATCCTGGACCCTCTCTATCCATTTTTTTTATTTAGCTTTAAGTGTTTGCAAAATTAATTATTTCTCTTGATCTATGTTGAACAGAATATAGAAGAATGTACCAACACCATCTTTGACCTTGAAGAGAATCAGAGGTCACTCAGTGCTGCCATTACAGAGAAAGAGAACGGCATCTCAAGTCTGAAAGTAGACACCAGCTCCATGGAGAGTGAAATGGAGCACCTACAGGAGAAGAAGCGTCTGGTATAGTTGTCTGCTACTAGCATTTGTCCTACCAAACAAGATGAAACAGATCACTGAAAGAGAGTTATTTTGTTTTTTTTAGATCAACATGTAAAATAGCTTAGCTTGCTGTAAATTATCTTATCAGCATTTTGAACATGAGAGCACCATATTTTCTCATTATATACGTAAGCTATGTAGCGCTACACAGTGGTTGTGCTTTACTGCTCTGTCTCACAATGCTAGTCAATGAGTAAGACAATTGTTTGAAAATAATGCACTCCCAGTGAGGCTGATATCTTAAAGTGTATCTTTGTCCTGAATTAAAAAGCTGTGAGCAGAAAGGATCTACTGTATTTAGCAGAAGTGACATAGGGGGGAATTTATCAAAACTGGAGCAGACAAAATCTGGACCAGTTTCCCAGGGCAACCGATCAGCTTCTCTCTTCATTTTTTTAGTTAAGATTTGAAAATGAAAGCGAGAAGCTGATTGGTTGTCACAGCTGCTCCAGAATTTGTCTGCTCCAGTTTTGATAAATCCCCTCATAGAGTCTTGGCATGCCTTGGTGCTGGCATGAATGAACTCCCCATGTGCATGCAGGGGAGTTATGTCATCCCTGCCCAGCCAGTCAAGATGGCTGAAGACTTGAAAGGAAGGGACAAGATATCAGCACCGGCAAGGAAGCTCATAGTTGTTGCATTGCTGGAGGGGAGGTGAATATTAAAGGGTTTAGTTTTGCTTTGAGAGTTTTGACAGTTAAGAGAGACAGCCACTATTATCTAATCTGCAAATCTTGTATTTAAACAGGTAAAGACCTAGGACCTAGGATGCACCTTGCACATCCTGGAGGCCTTACGCACCAAGCAAAAGCCCCCATGTGTAGCTGCTAGGACCTGCTTGTCAGTTTGACAGTTGATGGCCAAGTCTGTGAAGACCTTCTGTCAACAGTCCTTTCTGCACTGATTTTTCTAACAGGCGTTCAAACATGTTGAAATGTAAACAAAAAAAGATAAAATGTTATTAACTTTTCCTGTCAGGCGTAGGAAATTAAAACAGGCTCAGTTTACAATAGTAACACACCAGAGTAAGGATCCTTACTTAAAAACAAAATGACAGTTAGTAGTTTACTAACTTCTTGCACTCACAGTGTAAGGCCGCATTCACACTGAGCGTATCGCAAATCGCGCGTTTGTCACACGATTGTCATTTTGCGCGATTTCGCGCAATTGGTTGCATTGAGCAAAGTAGGATCGCACCGAAATCCGCTCCAAAAAGGGTCCTGTTGTAGCAACGCACGACCCGCGACAGCGACGAACAGAGCCCCATTGCCATGCATTGGAGAGCGATATCGCGCGGTAAATATCCGCGCGATAAAACGCTCAGTGTGAATGGGGCCTAATGGTGCAGACAGCAGTGTTGATGACATCAGGTCAGCACTGTTGTCTGTATCATTGAATCATTCAGGACCGGTATGAGAAAATCTGAAGAGGACCCTGTTCATGTCATGAAGACATTAATAAAAGGTAAGTATAAAATGAAAAAAGCATAAAACACTGCTGGAGCAGCCTCGCTGGGAGAAAGGGTTGGCATTCCAGGCCTAGACCCCAGAGTTAGTCTTTAAAAGGTGACGTCATGTAATGAAGTTGTCCTTTAAATGTTCCCTCCCATCCCTTCACTTGAATCCACATTCCTATATACTTACCTTTTTCCCCACTCCTGAGATCTTTAATGTGCAGCCCTCCTGGCTCTGCACAACCTTTGCACAATAAAGCCCTGGCTGCCTCAAGCCATTGTTACTCATGCTTGCTGCTGGCCACATTATTTCTTTTGGCTGTGGCTCTACTCTTCTGGATAGCCAAGGGCCACCATGAGTATGGACTACCCATAGGAATGAATATGGCAAGTGGCACGCATGCAATTAAAAGCAGAAAAAATTAATACATTGTAATTTAGCCTAGCCATTAAAAAAAAAGAAATTAGGAACAAAACCACTAAGCTTGCAGTTTTAGGAGGGAGAGAGCTCAACTGTGTGGTCAAGCTTATTAGAATTCAAAAAAGCAGGCAGGAGGCAGGGTAATGGTATGGAGCATGTAAAATAGCGTACTTAGAAAAATGTAATTATCCTCTTTGTCTAATGCAACCATACAGCATGACAGATGTGGGCTATTTTTTTTTTAACAATATTTTGATAAATAAAACAATTCTTATTTCTTTCTCGCCCCTTGAGGGATACAGGACATCTTTCACCTTTTTATTATTCTGCTGCCTACAAGAGGATTGGACACTGGTGAACCAAAAATTGTAGCCAACCCAGGGCATAACCCCTCCTAATAAGTCTGCCTCAGTTATGTGCTATTGTCCTTGGAGGATTGACACTACTGGAGTGTTCCCCTACGATTGTCAGCTATCTGGCACGGTTCACCTTACCCTGGCTTTTGGACAATACAGCATCTGGATGCTGCTATAATAGGCATTGTGGAGCTGGTCTCAAAGTGACCTTCATGTGCTGGGTTTCACAGGGTGGACTTTGCAGACTAATGTTTGCCATACAACAAATTCCTCCATCAACGCTTAGAAGCATTGATTGAGGAATCCCTGCTGTTTTCTGCGGCGGCTATCAGAATGCCTGAACAGACCCAGCAGCTCATTGGCTGCTAGCTCTGTTCAGTCAAAGATTTTCCAACTGGCTCCTTCGATCAGCTGATCGAGGGATGCTGGCCAGAAGGGTGCCGACAATGGCACCCACTGTGTGAATTTTGTCCGGTTCCTAAAGAACTGGCCGAAAGTCGCATAATGTTTGGCCAGCTGTAGTTTTTTAAAGTTAGCTGTGGAGCTGCCAGCTGTCTGGTTGTGCGAATACTTGAGGACTAAATGAAGAAATAATGTCACCAGCACACCATAGTAGTAGTAATGCAATAGTCCATTTAATGAGACATTGTCATTCAAATGCAAGCGCTTTCGGGGCCTCAGGGGGTCCCCTTTATCAGGCTCAGAAAGATGAGCTTGTTGAAGGGGACCCCCCCCTGAGGCCCCCGAAAGCGCCTGCAATTTTAATAGCAATGTGTCATTAAGGCCTGGTTCACACCTGGGCGTTTTACAGAGCTGATCGTCGCGCTATAAAACGCCCATCAAGTGAAATCCCATACTTTCCTATGGGTGTGGTTACCACCTGGGCGTATTTCAGCGCGTAGGAACGCGCTGAAAAACGCCCTACGCCCAAAAAAATACAGGAGCTTCTTTGGGGCGTTTTTCCGCGTGTTTCCATTGGTATTACCGAGTGTGGATCGGGGTTAACAAAGCGGTACATGTCTTCCCTTGTCCGCGATCCCCGCTGTGTCCTCCGGCGGCTGCCGACTTCCGGGTTCCATCCCTTGCGAGCGGACGCGTTGCAGGGGGGCGGAGCCGGCGGGAAGTTTGAAAGTGAAAAATAAAAATAATACATTTAAATAGAGAAAATAAAGGAAAAAAAATAAAATAATCATACCGCCAGTGAAACGCGCGTTTCACTGAATGGAAAAGCGTGCTAAAAAACGAGCTGAAAAAATACGCCCAGGTGTGAACCCAGCCTAAATGGACTATTGCTTAACTACTACTATGGTGTGCTGGTGACATTATTTCTTCATTTGTGTTATTTCACGGTGCCGTCCGTGGTCACTACAAGCACCCACCCGCCTACACCGGGCTTTTGGATATTCCGATAAGGAGTGCAGCAAGACCTCTGGTTCCTACTTGAGGCCTAGACCCTTACCTTGAATCTGTATGATGCCTAACTGCTGTGACCTGTTTCTGGCTGTGATTTTACTTTATCAGTCCATGTCTGGATCAATTTCCAGATGTAGACAGTTGGCAGGCAGATTTCCTTAGCCAGCAGCTTCTGAACCCGGGATAGTGGTCTTTAAATCCAAATGTGTGCCAGGACCTGTGTCACAGATAGAGAATGCCAGATATGGACATCCTGACCTCCAGGTTTAACAACAAACTAGACAGGTTTGTTTTCAGGTTCAGGGATTTTCTGGTGGAAACACTGGGTATTCTGGTGGCTCTGTGGGGTCAGTACATCTTGAGCTATGCCATTCCTCCCCTAAAATTTCTTCCTCATCTGCTCTGCAGGATTGACATGGAGGGCATTCCAGTGATTCTCATTGCTCCAGGATTGACTCAGGTGGATTGGGGTAAGCTAGTCTGGTAAGATGTCTAGCAGACACACTGTGGGGACTGCCAGACCACCTAGCTCTAATTACCCAAAGGGAAGACTTGCCAACCTCCTAGTTGTATGTCTTGTGAGGCCCAGGTTTTAAGGGACAGGTGCATCTCCGAGTCTGTGATCCCTAAGTTGCTTAAGGCTAAGAAGTCCACTTCCCACAAGGTCTAATCGGACATCATCAGTTTCTCCATGGAACAAATCCTCTCCTTCCTGCAGCTAGGTCTGGACCAGCTCACAGCACTATCAAGTCAAGTGCTCTTTCCATTCTGTTTAAGAGATTGTTGGCCTCTCAGTTTTTAATAAAGACCTCTGTGCAGGAGGTCTCCCATGTGGTTCCCTTTGTATGTTCGCCTGTAAATTAGTAGGATCTTAATCTTTCTCTCTGCCCTTCTGAAGGTACCACTTAAGCCCATTAGAGACATTTCTCTCTCTTCTCTCCCCCACAAGGTTGCTTTTCTTGTAGCTATCACCACTATCAGTGCCTAAACTGGTGGCTTTATCCACAAAGAACCTTTTTTGGTCTTGCATAGGGACAAGGTGGTGTTGAGACCCAGGACTTCCTTCTTTCCTATAGTAGCCTGTATCTTTCACCTCAACCAGAACATTGTTCTTCACTCCCTTTGTCCAACTCCAGTTCGTCAAAAGGAAATGTTCCTCCATTGTCTGGATGTGGTTTGGGCTACGTGAGACTATCTTTCAACTACTTCTAATTTCAGAAAGATTGATTCACTTGATGTTATTCCTGATCAACCCTGAAAGGGCGCCCTGGCTTCTCATTCCACTATCTCTAGGTTGCTCAGACAGACCATCGTTCAAGCTTATGTTCTCATGGATCTGGTTCCCCCTTTCCTGCTAAGGCTCACGCTACTAGATCTGTGAGCACCTCTTGGGCTCTTCAGCATCAGGCAACTGTTTTCCAGATTTGTAAGGCTTACACCTGATCCTCTTTTCACATGGTTTGTAACTTTTACCATGTGGACATTTCTGCATAAGGTCCTTCAGGCTGCTTTTTCAGCTGCATGTAGCTCCAGTTTGCTGTTGCTTTCGTTGGACCTGTTAGCATTTGTTTTATGTCACCCCTCCCCCCACCCATTGGACTGTTTTTGGATGTCCTGAAGATTAAAAGTTCCTGTGTCCCTCAATGGAGGAGTAAAAAAAATTATATTTGTACTAACCTTTAAAGTATATTCTTGGTATCTATTGAGGGACATAGGTCCCACCCCTCTGTGATGATCATGGCCATGATCATGTTTTTGATACTGGTTTGCTACAAAACTGAGGCATGCTAGTTGTAGGAGGGGGTTATGGCTTGTCTACAGTTTTTGTTTGCTAGTGTCCAATTCTCCTGTGGGCAGCAGTATAACCCAAAAATGTAAGACTTCCTGTGTCTCTTAATGGACTCCAAAAAAGGTTTTATGCAGAGTACAAAAATTCCATTATGTTTCAGTTGTGTGTTTTACGATTTTGTTGAAGGTGCATTTTAAGGATTTAAAACTAAACCAGGATTCTTCTCTTTTTATCTCATTAGAACCTGACAAAGATTGTGGCCTATCAGACTCGTATGAAGCATTTGCAGGCTGTGAAAGAAGGAAAATACACCCCAGTTTTCAGCACCTTGCAAACTCTAGAAGTTGAGCAACAGAAGCAAGAAAACCGCTTGCATACAGTCAGCACAATCATTCACCAGATCCAGCAGGAATACCCTCAGTATCAGAATGTCCTGCACAATGTTAGTCTTGCACTGGAAGCAAGGCTTGGCCCTCAGGAAATTGTCACAGAGAGGATTCCATGAAAATATTAATTTTATCATATCTTAGTTATTAAAGTATATCTAAAGCTCCATTGTTTTTCACTCCACCAGGAAATTTCTCTAAAATGTGAGAAATGCTTTCCTTAGATATACTTATTGATATTAAACATTCATATGTGCTAAAAAAAACACACCACCCAACACCAACATAAAAGATAAGGTTGTCTCTAACTCCCATGAGCCTATGTCTGCCCATTACCTGTCCTGTAAGTGCCGTGCCTGAAACTCGGACACAAGATGTCATAATGTCTGATGGACAGGTGCAACCACGGGGTCCTGGTGTTCCAACTTGAGTGCATGGAGGAGACATGGGACACAGAGGGACACTGGAACTCAGGGAGCAAGTAGGTGTCTGAAACACAGAGAGCAGATAGGTCTTAAAGGGCACAAGGATTATGCTTCAGGCAAATGTGTTGCTCGCTATCTTTCCTCACTCTCTGTCCTGGCTGTTTGTCTGTCATTTCTCTCTCGTGGCTGTCTGTCCCCCCTCTCTCTCTCATCTGTCTGCCTCTCCTCGCTCATCCTCTTGACTGTCAATTCTGGCTCTCTTTGACTGGCTCTCCTCACGCTCTCTCCTGGCTTTTTCTCCTCGCTGTCTCTCCTCACTCAGTTCCCAGGCTGTTTCTCCATGCTCTCTCTCCTTGCTCTCTCATAGATAAAAATTGGAGCATGGCACTAGAGTGTTTGGTTTCACTTGAAGAAAAGGTGGCAACCCTACCAGTACCAATCAGTATCTTGAATGTTTGCGGACAAATGGCTAGCTAGGAGCTCATACTTGAAATTTCCCAGTGAGTAGGTAAAGACACTCTTTTTGGGTAAATAAATATCAAGGTTTCTTTAAACTGTTTTAAAGGTATGCAAACAAACACCAAGAGAGTGCCTTCTCCTGTGCATTATCATTTATTATCAACGAATAAATAAAAACCTGCTCACAAAGGTGAGGTGCAGGCAGCATCTGGGACAAGGAGTCACATAATGACTCTAGACACACAGCTGTAGGAGGGTGAGATGAAACCGGCAAATACACACTTGTTACTTCATTATCCAAACCGCCACTGGCTGAAAATGTTTTGGAGGCACGCCTCCTTCTTCAGAGCCTGCTATCTATCCTCCATTTTCCCATGCCCTAAGAGCATCTCACCAGCCAATCACAGGAGGATTGTCTAGAGCCATTCATTGGCCTCTAACCAATCAATTTGGCTCCTTGTTTGGCCAATCAGCAAGTCATGTAATGCCCTCCACTGAGTATGGCTCCTCCCACTCACCAATCACATGGGAGCCAGATGAGTAATTCAAGCACCGGCCTCAATCGTATATCCGTAAAGCCGGTGCTAGCTCTACACTCACAGACATGTTGGGGAGGAGACTGAGCCTGTCAGAATCCTCTGACAGATCGAGACCAGTGCTTGAGTGATTTCTCCGGCTGCCATGTGATTTGGTGTGAGCACCCTTTGCCTTCAAAACAGCATTAATTCTTTTAGGTACACTTCACACAGTTTTTGAAGGAACTCGGCAGGTAGGTTGCTCCAAACATCTTGGAGAACTAACCACAGATCTTTTGTGGATGTAAGCTGCCTCAAGTCCTTCTATCTTTTCATGTAATCCCAGACAGACTCAATGATGTTGAGATCAGGGCTCTGTGGGGGCCAAACCATCACTTATTATTCTTCTTTCCCCTGAAGATAGTTCTTAATGACATTGGCTGTATGTTTGGGGTCATTGTCCTGCTGCAGAATAAATTTGGGGCCAATCATACGCTTCCTTGATGGATAAGTATCTGCTTGGATTTCTCAGCACTGAGGACACCATTGATCCTGACCAAATCTCCAACTCCATTGGCAGAAATGCAGCCCCAGACTTGCAAGGAACCTTCACCATGTTTCACTGTTGCTGCAGACACTCATTACTGTACTGCTCTTCGGCAAACAAACTGCCTCCTGCTACAGCCAAATATTTCAAATTTTGACTCATCAGTCCAGAGCACCCCTAATTTGGTCTATCTGCCCTAGTTTTGATAAATTCCCCTTAGTGTGTATAAACATATACAAAATTGAACTAAAACAAGTAGTAAAAGAGCGACTGGATAGTCTGGAAGATTCCCCTCCCCATCCCGCAACAACAGGTAACAAAGGGAGGTGAAATGCCCTGGGCACAGCTGATTGGGATGGGAGGAGAATGCTTCACCGGCAGTTTTGGGTGGGATTCAGGTCCATGCAACCAGATTGGTGAAGGCCTTTCATCATGCACATCCTGAAAAGTCTGGCACTAGGGGCATTCAGAGGCTGTCTATAAGGAGAAGGGGACATGTTTCTGTATTCAGAGTCCCTGTCAGGACTTCCAGTATATGTCTGCGAATCCCTGCCAGGACTTCCAGAATATCTGCCAGTACCTCCAATGGCACTCACATGATCCCTGCCTATCCTTGGCACTTACAGAATGTCAGACAGTATTTGTAATAGTAGTCACAGTATCCATCACAAAACATATAGAACTCCCTAAACTGATGCTGGGCATGTCCTCTAATCCAGAAGGGTAATTAATCTTCAGTCCTGGAAGTGGCTGGCGCTGTATCTTCAAACCAGCTACCCTGTTTGTGCTGCGAGTGATAATACCAAAGTCCATTCCTGTTTCGTGGACCCAGACTGACTGACCACTCTCTGCTTGCCACCTGCCTTGACCCCTGCCTAGACCTGACTATGCTCTTGGCTACTGACTGCTTGTTGCCAACCCAGACTGCCTGACATCTCTCTGCTTGCCACCTGCCTCGTCCCCTGCCTGGACCTAACTACGCTCTCATCTCATTTTGTCTACTGTTTATTGGTTGCTAACCCAGACTGCCTGACCACTCTCTGCTTATTGCCTGTCCAGATCCTTGCCTGATCCAGACCATAGTCCGTTCTACTACCCTGTCTGCTGTCATCGCATCATAGCCTTCCTTGCCCTTTCCTTGGCAGGGTGATCCTGAGGACCGTAACCTGGTACAAGCAAGCAGTGAACCCCATCTCCAACATCAAGAACTCTGGCGAAAATCAGCTGGTGAATAGAGATAGGCTCGATGTTTGAGTCGAACATGAGGTTGACTCGAACATCGGCAGTTCGTGTGTTCGGCACACACACTAACTGTAAGGCGGTTCGGCTGGCTATTCGCCCACCGAGCACCCCACAAGGCACTGTGCCTTGTAAAACGAGCTTTCCGCTGGTCCGTGTCCCCCCCCCACTCCGCTGTCACACTGGTCCCGGGCTACGCTGTGTCGGTGCGAACCCAGGACCAGCATAGTGGCGCTCTGACAGGGGATCAGAGAGAGATCAATCCCCTCTCTGCTGTCAGAATGCGGAAGTGATATATTTTGTGTCACTCTCCAGCTTCAGACGCTAGAGAGAAGCTGATGAAGCAGATCTCTGCTTCATCAGCTTCTTTGGGGGGTCCTAGGTGGCATTACCCCTGATGTCTCCGTAAAGAGGACTTGTCACATCATCTTTGCTATCACATAGGGGGTTTTCTTAGCCCCCTATGTGATAGCAATAAAGTTAAGTGGAAAAAAAAATGAAAATTGCCAAAAAAAATTTTAAGTTACACATGAAAAAGAATATTTTTTTTTAAAGTCCCCACCCATACATACACGCATGCAAACATGCGTCGGGTGCACATACGTGCAAAAACAACGATTATGCCGCACAGGTTACATATCGCCGTGAACGTCGCATTGAGAGCAATAATGCTAGGGACATTTATCACCGATAACACTAAACTGATGAGCGGTACAAGCTTTTAAAGCGTCGCCTATGGTCAATTTTGGGTATGGTAGTTTTTTGCGATTTTTGTGGGTGTGCGCAATTTTAAACTTTTACGCGACGTGACCCCGTCTTACCAAAAAAATGGGTAATAATAATTGTTTCCTAACATAATGTAAAAAAAATCTTTTTTTTTTTCAAAATTTTCAGTAATTTTTCCTTAAAAGGGTTCTAAACCTTCCGGGTTTTTTTTGCCTATATCTACTGCTAGCAAGCAGTAGATATAGGCAAAAAGTTTTTTTTTAAAAAACGCTTTAACAGCGGTGTACACTTTATCGAGAATCTAAAACTGATCGAGTGGCCGCAAAGCATCTTGGGGCGGATGCGCTGCGCAGTTCGGATTTTCGGCCGGGAGACGAGCAGAGACGCAAGGTAAGTCTATGGGCGCGTGCACCCGCATGCAGACACCGCTGGATCGGAAGTGCCTGCTAGCAGAGAGGAGTCAGCGTTGGGTTGGAGGGACAGATGAAAACATCAGGAAAGAAGATCGGATTAAGAGACATCATTTACGGTAAGTGCTAACATTAACATGGGGGAAATTTTTTTTAGACTTTAATGTCACTTTAATGTAGTAAAAAATAAAAACAGTACAGCGTTGCATGATGGAATAAATGTCAGTCAAAATACTGCAGCGTTAAATACTGAAAAATGGCCTGGCCAGGAAGGGGGTGTAAACACCTGGTCAGCAAGTGGTTAAAGGCCTCATTTCTTTTTCTGAAAACAGTAGAATGATGGGCTTTACCAAAAAGCTGTAATTTTGTTTTGTCTGTCCACAGCACATTCTCCCAAAGAAGTTTGGCTTCCTCAGTTAAGTTATGGCAAACTCCAATCTTGCTTTTTTATGTTTCTGTGCCAGTAGTGCGGTCCTCCTGGGTCTCCCACCATAGTGCCCCTTTTCATTCAGATGGTGACGTATAGTGCGAGCTGACACAGTTGTAACCTGTGCCTGAAGGTCAGCTTGAATTTGTCTGGAAGTTGATTGAGGGTCTTTATCTGCCATTCAAACAATCCTTTGTTGCAATCTTTGATCAAGTGTTCTCTTTTGCCCACGTCCAGGGAGATTAGCTACAGTGCCATGGGCTGTAAACCTCTCGACAATGTTGCGCACAGTGGACTCAGGAACATTAAGATCTCCGTTGATGGACTTGTAACCTTGAGATTGTCTATGCTTTTCCACAATTTTTGGCACA